TTTTTTTTTTTTTTTCTGTCTTCTGCATTCTAGTTTACCTTGAGGAGAATTGGTCTACTTAGTTTGGCTTTGGCCTTTAGCCCTTTATTTTCTGGTGCCCCCCCCAACAGTGACCCTAACTGCACTAAGGGTGCTCTGAACTTCGAGGGACCTTGTCAGGGCAGCCCTCAGAGCTCACCACTGTGAAGTCAATGTAAGGGCCCTGCTTAGAAATCAGGAGGAGCGTCCATCAGGGAATCTGCTCTTAACACCATCACTGGTGGCTTTAAACTTTACATCCACAAGTTCCACATTCCTCATTTGAAGGAGGGCAGACTGAAAGTATCTCAAACACAACTGACTCCACAGGGAACATACACAAACTTGGTTTTGACGCTGCGGTCTAAACAACACAGTGTAACAATGTTTTACACAGCATTTGCATTGCCTTAGGTCTCATAAGTAGCCTAGTGATTTAAAGTTTGTGGGCGGAGGTGTATAGGTTATGCACAAATACTGCACGGTTTTATGTAACAGGTTTGAGCACCTGCAGATTGTTATCAGCAGGGGTTCTGGAGCTGGTGACACCTGGATAACAAGGGAATATTCCAGCTAAAAACTTGCCAGGCATCACACCATTACAGCAGAGGGGTTCAGATGCAAACCAACACAGTTTGATTTTGGACTTCCACACCTCCATGCTGTAGCTCTCACTACTTAGACCGCATAAAAGCAACGTGTTTCTTTTAGGAACAGACATATCCTCCCTTTTTATGGCAGTGAAGAGCTTATTATAAAGTCTGATTTTTTTGGTTTTGAGGTCTTTTTTTCTGATGTGAATTGTTTATTTAAAGAAGTTTTATTTACAAGCATATAAGCTTTATTTTTTTAGCTTTAGCTCTTAAGAAAACTGAGGACTCTGTTTTTGAAAGACATCTTTAGCTAAGAAGTTAAAAGATTTTTTTTGAACTTTTATAGCTTTTACTGTAATGTTTCAGCTTTCCTGAACCACATTAGTGACGTTACCGGTGTAGCTGGAGACTGTCAGCAGGGGCCAGTATAGTACTTGCAGTGCTTATGCAAAATACTTTGCATATTTAGTCTAAATTTTATAGGTCTTGTTGGTTACGTTTTTCTGTTGTGTGTTTAAAACCAAGTTAAAGTGAGACCTTTGTTAATCAAAGTTAATATTCTGCAGGCATGGTGGTGTGCACCCATCATTCCAGCACTCAAGAGCTGAGGCAAGAGGATTACCATGAGTTTGAGGCCAGCCTGGAGTACATAGTGAGTTCAAGGTTAAACTGAGCTATATAATGAGACCCTGACTCAAAAACTTCAAAAATAAATACCCTAATATATATCAAGGTCAGTTAAGGCTCCGCAGGGCTTTCTCTGGGAACCATGCACAGACCCTCAGAGCTCTGTCGCTGTTATCTGCCGGCGTGAGTCCGGGTCTTGTTTGAGCGTGTGGCCTCCCTTGGAAGCATGGAAGATGCTTTTGTTTTCCCTTTGGGGACCCTTCTTTGAGCACAGTGTTTGCTGATTGGCCCCTGTCCTCTGGGGTCTAACAATCTCCCTGTTCAGGAGGTTGGGTGACTCACCAGAGTTGTCGGCAGTGGAGAGAGGTCTCCTTACGCCCTAGGTCCTTATTGACCTTGGAGGACCAGGGCCAAAATATTGGTTGATTGGTAGCCCAGTTCTCTTTTTAGCTTTGGCCTGTGAACCTCAGGTGTTGGAACACCCAGGAGGTTGGCAATAGCAGGGCTGAAGTGGAAACAGTAGGCTTAACTATGATAATCTTATCTGGAAATCAAGCACTTTGAAATATAAAGTGTGACCAGGGAAGTGTTACATTTTTTGACCATGATTGTTTTAACAGATAATAATTATAGTTTTACAGGGAAAATGTGGAATCAAAAGCAAATATAATATTTAGAATAACAATTATATTGACACTATCATTATTATGCTATTATTGTTATTTTTATTATTACCTCCACTGGGGGTTTTGTCTTTAAAAGTATATTTAAAATTTTATTTTATGATAGAATGTCTCATGACAGAAAAGAGCTATAGATTGTTAAATGGGCTATTTGTTCACTATGTCTACTTATTGTTAAGCCAAGTTAGAGGCCTTCTTTTTACCTTTTTCACTTACATTTTTTTTTTAAAAAATCAATATTTTTAAAACCCTTTAAATTGGCCCCAAATTTATAAAATAAACTTAAAGGTGATATCTTGGGGGCAAACATTGAACTACCCATAATTGTTTAAGAAGTACTATCCAGTGGTACCTCAATTCACGGATACTTTTGTTTGTGAACAATTTGGTTTGCAAGCAGAAGCACTTGACAAAGTTTTGTGGGGTTTTTTGTTTTTGTTTTTGTGAATTCCACATTGGATGATGAATACAACTATGGCCATCTTTCCTGCATGAACACAAGCATGCGTATTTTACAAAATTGTGGAAGGAATTACATTTATAAACCGAGGTATCACTGTATGTCTTTAAGATCTCTCCTGTCTGTGTACTTTTGGGGAGAGATAAAGGGAGAAAGAAAAGAAAGAAAAGACAGCATCCTACTTTGGTCCCTTGAGGATACGTGAACTATC